GCTTCCCGAGCTCCAGCCTGCCGGGATCCGAGCCAGGCGGCCAGCAGGCAAGTCCTCCGAGCGGTCCTAGTTCTGGGGGGGTGAGCACCATCCCACCTGCGGAGAGCTGGGGCTGCAAGAGCCGCTAATGCAGATGTTTTCATTCGGTAATTAAGAGCGAGCCAGGAAGCAAGCTGCATTAAAGTGTCATTACGGTTTTCACCTACAAGAGATGACTGAGACAACCTAGCTGTATCCTAGCCTTATGGTTTAGGGATTTCAATAGACTGACTGCTCTTTTCCATCCCTCGCCATCCCTCCTGCCATTGCCCTTAAACAGACTGAACCAAAAGTTATTGTTCACCAGATACGGCAGAATAATGAGGGTGGGGAGTTATTCATGGATTATTTATTCTACAATCAATGAGGCAAACAAAAATGAAAACAATTATTTCTCAGGTGTTATACAGAGAAGGCTGAGAAATGGAGAGGTATAATTTCTTTAGAGTAGCCCCAAAGCACGGATAAATTATTTTCAGTGACTAATACACATGCTGTTAACAAGTATCTGCTGTTATTTACTGAGTGTGATGAAGTGGTTAAGGCTGTATGTAAGATGAGATTTTCAGAAAGGCCTTGGGATATTAGGATCCTCAATCCTATTGCCTTTCAGAGGGAGTACAGTGCCTATCTTTTAGGTCACTTTGAAAACTCATCCATACATAATATGTGATATCCCAGGAGACCAGTGGCCTCAAGGTTTAAGCACAGCACAGGACAAAGCTTAAGTGCTAGTCCTGGGAAAAAGTGTTTCTGCAATCTTGTCCAACTGCCTTAATTTTTCCTCCTTGAACCTTTCCCTCCCTTGCCTTATCCATACCGAGTATTAATACATCCATATTTTAAATGCTTTCATAGAAGTAATGCCAATGTCTGTAGCAAATGTGGAATGAAAAAGTGCACTATGAGTGCTAAGCGTTATTATACTTACCCATTTTTGACAGAATAAATATCCCCATAGAGACTTCGTTACCCCTTCTCTGTACCATCTTGAGCCCTGTGTCACGCTCTCCCCATTCCTTAGACCCACAGACACTTTTTGATGTTCAGTAATCATTACAGTATGTGAGTTTGGGGGGAATTAACTGAGAACCAAATATTAATGAGTGCCATTAAACTAGTTCAAAATTGCCTCTTTCCATAACTTCTTTCTTGTTAACATGTTCTATTCTCCTCCTGCTCTATACCCCACAATTTTTCAAATTTATAAACCTACATTTTCTGTTCTTTAGCTACAGCAGAAGCGACAGTGCTGATATACTATCAGAAACTGCCTGCATATATTCACGGAAAAAAGAAAAACTTCTGACTATGACATGCAAAAAATCTACTGCTTTCATTCTGAGATCTTGCAACCCTTTCAGTATTCATTGGCCTTTATTATTCACCTGAGTAAGTAATAAACAGCTTCTCTGAGTAAGTATTTAAAAGCTCAGCAGACCATTTTGCACACTAAATTTCTGCTTTTTAAGGACCTTCCACCAAGCACAACAAAAACAATATACTTGCATATGACCCATTTATATCTTTATACATATATACTTGCATATCGCCCATTTCACAAAGTCCTCCACTGGACAAAAATCTGATTTGATTTGAGTTGTTCAAACTTCACAGTTGTTTAGCATATGCTAATTGGGGTTTCCAAACAATACTCAAGTTGCTCCCAACTAGGCACACATTTAAAAAAATAATTATAAGACTAATTCAAAACAGGAAGATTCAGTGGGTTGATTGATGAATATCTCAATAATGGTGATAGTAGAAAGTTTCCTTGTGGTTTGAGACGGAAGAAATGGCGCAGATTATTGCATTTTTCCCCACCTCGGAATAGGATCAGTCCTTAAAAACTACATAAAATATTTAAATTATGTAGCAACAGCAATGAGTTGTGCAGGGGTAATGCAATTATTTTTAATATAACCACAACTGGGGCCTGCAAAATCATTAATTTTCATTGAATCTGTCACACAAAAATCATTACAAAGATCTTCAGGCATTTTTTAGTCTTATAGAATAAACTAACCCCATCATATATATATATACTGTTCTTTTTCTTTTTCTTTTTTTTTTTTTTTTTTTTTATTCCTGGAGGATGTTTTGAAGTATTACTTTACATGATTCAACAAATCCAAGTTGAATATATTAACCTTTGAAACGAAAACATGGTCAAATTCTGTTAGGACACAATATGGAGTTATTAGACATTTCTCTCTTCTACTCTTCTTCCTAACCTTTCCTTTCCAGAGTGTAAATGTGAGGACGTTTCTAAGCAAGCAGTGAAACACTCCCACAGCCTAAGCAGGGCACCTGCAAGCTTAGCACCCCTATCCTGCAACTGCCAAGCGACTGCAACTTGGGTCAACAGGGACCTGTACTCCACACGCTATAGGTTAGGAAAGTGTCCTAGCAGACTGGGATAGACACACCAGCCAAGATGTGCAGAAGGAGGATCTTCCAGCAAAGCTAGTCCCATCAGAAAATTAATCCTTCCTTATTTTTCAAATCAACACTCCCACAGCCTTAAAAGCTGGGGAGATATCTGAGTCTACTGTTGAAACCTCCCTGGCAATTAATAAGACACTAAAGTGTTAAAAGACTCTAGTTATTACAGCTGTACACAAATTTTATTGAGCTTAATGGAAATTATACACACATATTGATGAATGAATAGATCATTCTGAATTTACTAGGGCTGTCAAGCATTGTCTGCTAAATGGAATTCATCCTGGACAGAGCTATATTTACAGTATGTGAATGTCAAGAAGAAAAACACAATGTCAGAAAGCTAGAAAGGATAATTAAGAATTTCCAACACTGTCAGGACAAAATGGCATCCAACAAAGTGATCGGCTGGGGCCAGGCAAGAAAGTGAGCCAAGCTGAAAAAGAACCTGAAACTTCTGAATTAATATTGAAAAGTAAACCCCATGCTGCTTTATCCCTAACAAACTACGATTTTAACATAGTTTTTTCCTTTTTACATTTTTGGTTGCCAAGGGCCCCTTGCATGGCAGAGCTTTAAAAATTATTCATAGCAGAATTTCCATCAGAGTCTCTAGGATGGGAGGTATGAGGACTTCACACAGGAAAGACAGATGCAATGTATTTCAAATGATGACCGAACAAGATGTTACGACTACATGCATAGGATTAAACGCCATACAATGAACAGTTCTATTACTGAGGGAAGTCTTGGGTTTATTAAGAACAAAATGGGGTTTTCTACTGGGACTTTCTATAAACATGGGTCTTTGAGGAAGAAAGAGGGGACATGAAAATTGTGATCTGCCTGTGAAAAGCTGTAAAGACCTGAGGAAAATATTTATTTCTAGAAATGTAAGGAAAGAGAGTCTTTCCTAACCTTCCTAATGTGTCTAAAAAGGAAGATGAGGGTGCATTGACAGAACAGAGCCATTATCTTCTTCTTGTTTCATGCAGCTAAAAATAAAGCATTATAGTTTGAAGTTAATACATTTTGGCCTGACCATCTTTTTTTGTTGTAGTTGTACTAAAATAAACAAGCAAATAAAAAAACTGGAGATGTGTATATACATAATGATAGCAAAATATGGTTCTAGCTCTTTCTTTACATGCTTCGTAACAAAGGTGGTTTTAAAAAAAGGAATCTTAAACTCTCAGAATGCTCAGTATGTCACTATTAAAAATTATGACCCCAGATTCTCGTTCATACAGACATCAAAAGAAACTGAGGATGCTCGGAAGTTTACAGCTTCATGCCCCTACATCTTCTGTAGTCTAAACATGTGCTCGAGACAGCATCTACCTTTGGAAATTTCTTTTGGGATATCTTGGTCTCTATCAATCTACACTGAATAATGCAAAATTTTGAAAATCTAAACAAATAAAAAATCATGCCATGTGCCTCAGACATATACTAGACTTGAATCTGCATTTTATAGATGTGCAAATAGAACAGAATTCCATT